GTCTTCGTCCTGGCGTGAGTCGTTCGGGCTCTTCGTAGTGTGAGTCGTTCAGGCACCTCGTCCTGGTATGAATCGCTCGGGCCCCTCCTGGTGTGTGAGTCGTTCGGGCTCCTCGTGGTGTGAGTCGTTGGGGCCCCTCGTCCTGGGGTGAGTCGTTCGGTCTCCTCGTGGGGCCTCTTGGGGGCCTCTTGGAGGCTCTCGGGGCTTCGTGAGGGCCTCTTGGGGGTCTCATGAGGGCCTCTTGGGGGCCTCTTGAGGCGTCTTGGGGCTTCTTGGGGGCGTCTTGGGGGCATCTTGGGAGCCTCTTGGGGCCTCTTGGGGGCCTGTTGGGGGACTCGTCCTTCCTTGTATGATTGTCTCGGGCCCCTCGTTGTGTGTGAGTCGTTCGGGCTCCTCGTGGTGTGAGTCCGTTCGGCCCCTCGTCCTGGTGTGCGTCGTTCGGGCTTCTCCTTGTGTGTGAGTCGTTCGGGCTCGTGGTGGTGTGAGTCGTTCGGGCCCCTCGTCCTGGTGAGAGTCGTTCGGGCGCCTCCTTGCGTGTGCGTCGCTCGGGTTCCTCCTTGTGTGTGAGTCGTTCGGGCCGCTCGTCCTCGTGTTCGTCGCTCGGGCCCCTCCTGGTGTGTGAGTCGTTCGGGCTCCTCGTGGTGTGAGTCGTTGGGGCCCCTTCGTCCTGGGGTGAGTCGTTTGGCTTCCTCGTGGGCCTCTTGGGCGCCTCTTTGAAGCTCTCGGGGCCTCTTGGGGGGCTCCCTGTGGTTTCTTGGGAGCCTCTTGGGGGCCTCGAGAGGCGTCTTGGGGCTGCTTGGAAGCCTCTTGGGGGCCTCTTGGGGGCCTCTTGGGGCCTCTTGGGGGCCCGTTGGGGGCCTCGTCCTTCCTTGCGTGAGTGGCTCGGGCCCCTCCTTGTGTGTGAGTCGTTCGGGCTCCGCGCGGCGTGCGTCGTTCGGAGCCCTGGTCCTGGTGTGCGTCGTTCGGGCCCCTCCTGGGGTGTGAGTCGTCCGGGCTCCTCGTGATGGGAGTCGTTCGGGCCCCTCGTCCTGGTGTGAGTCGTTGGGGCGCCTCCTTGCGCGTGAGTCGTTCGGGCTCCTCGTGGTGTAAGTCATTCGGGCCGCTCGTCCTGGTTTGCGTCGCTCGGACCCATCCTTGTGTGTGAGTCGTGGTGGCTACTCGTGGTGTGAGTCGTTGGGGCTCCTCGTCCTGGAGGGAGTCGCTCGGCCTCCTCGTGGGGCCTCTGGGCCCCTCGTCTTGGTGTGAGTCGTTGGCGCGCCGCCTTGTGTGTAAGTCGTTCGGGCTCCTCGTGGTGTGAGTCGTTGGGGCCCCTCGTCCTGGGTTGAGTCGTTCGGTTTCCTCGTGGGGCCTCTTGGGGGCGTCCTGGAGGCTCTGGAGGCCTCTTGGAGGACTCTTGGGCGCCTCTTGGGGGCCTCTTGGGGGCCCTTTTGGGAGCCTCTGGGGGCGTCTTGGGAGCCTCCTGGGGGCCTCGTCCTTCCTTGTGTGAGCGCCTCGGGCCTCTCACTGTGTGTGAGTCGTTCGGGTTCCTCGTAGTGTGAGTCGTTCGGGCCCCTGGTCCTGGTGCGCGTCGTTCGGGCCCCTCCTTGTGTGTGAGTCGTTCGGGCTTCTCATTATGTGAGTCGTTCGGGCCCCTCGTCCTGGTGTGAGTCGTTCGGGCCCTTCCTTGTGGTGTGAGTCATTCGGGCTCCTCGTGGTGCGAGTCGTTCGAACCGCTCGTCCTGATGTGCGTCGCTCGGGCCCCTCCTTGTGTGTGAGTTGTTCGGGCTCCTCGTGGTGTGAGCCCCTGGGGCCTCTCGTCCTGGGGTGAGTCGTTCGGCCTCCTCGTGGGCGTCTTGGGGGCCTCTTGGAAGCTCTCGGAGCTCCTTGGGGGGCTCTTTGTGGTCTCTTTGGGCGCATCGGGGGGGCCTCGAGAGGCGTCTTGGGGGTTCTTGGAAGCCTCTTGGGGGCCTCTTGGGGGGCGTCTTGGGGGCGTCGTCCTTCCTTGTGTGGGTCCCTCGGGCCCCTCAGTGTATGTGTGAGTCGCTCGGGTTCCTCGTAGTTTGAGTCGTTCGGAGCCCTGGTCCTGGTGCGCGTCGTTCGGGCCCCTCCTGGCGTGTGAGTCCTTCGGGCTCCTCATGGTGTGAGTCGTTCGGGCTCCTCGTGGTGTGAGTCGTTCGGACCGCTCGTCCTGGTGTGCGTCGCTCGGGCCCCTCCTTGTGTGTAAGTTGTTCGGGCTCCTCGCGGTGTGAGTCGTTGGGGCCCCTCGTCCTGGGGTGAGTGGTTCGGGCCCCGCATTGTATGTGAGTCGTTCGGGCTCCTCGTGGTGTGCGTCGTTCGGGCCCCTCCTTGTGCGTGAGTCCTTCGGGCTCCTCATGGTGTGAGTCTGTCGGGCCCTTCGTCCTGGCGTGAGTCGTTCGGGCGCCTCGTGGTGTGAGTCGTTCGGACCGCTCGTCCTGGTGTGCGTCGCTCGGGCCCCTCCTTGTGTGTAAGTTGTTCGGGCTCCTCGTGGTGTTAGTCGTTGGGGCCCCTCGTCCTGGGGTAAGTGGTTCGGGCTCCGCATTGTATGTGAGTCGTTGGGGCTCCTTGTGGTGTGAGTCCTTCGGGCCCCTCGTCCTGGCGTGCGTCGTTCGGGCCCCTCCTTGTGTGTGAGTCGTTCGAGTTCCTCGTGGTGGGAGTCGTTCGGGCCCCTCGTCCTGGTGTGAGTCGTTGGGGCGCCTCCTTCTCTTGGGGGCCTCTTGGGGGCCTCGTCCTTCCTTGTGTGAGTGCCTCGGGTCCCTCATTGTGTGTGAGTCGTTCGGGCTCCTCGTGGTGTGAGTCGTTGGGGCCCTCGTCCTGGTGTGCGTCGTTCGGGCTCCTGCTTGTGTGTGAGTCGTTCGGGCTCCTCGTGGAGGAAGTGGTTCGGGCCCCCTCGTCTTGGTGTGCGTCGTTGGGGCGCCTCCTTGCGTGTGAGTCGTTCGGGCTTCTCGTGGTGTGAGTCGTTCGGGCCGCTCGTCCTAGTGTGCGTCGCTCGGGCCCCTCGTCCTGGGTTGAGTCGTTCGGCTTCCTCGTGGGGCCCTCTTGGGTGCCTCCTCGAGGCCTGTGAGGCCTCCTGTGGGCCTCGTGGGGACCTCTGGAGGCCCTCTTGGGGGCCTCCCGGGGCGTCCTGGAGCCTCCTGGGGACCTCTTGGGGGCCTCTGGGGTCCTCTGGGGAGGTTCTTGGGTGCATCTTGGAAGCCTCTGTGGAGCCTCCTGGGGGCCTTTGGGGCCAGCTGGGGGCCTCGAGCGATCCGTCGAAGCGCGAACGAGCGATGCCCCCTGATAAGGACAGGATAACCCACGATTTTCGCACAATCAAATTTTGTTTCATGAAGGCAGAGAAGCGCTGTTCCCTCCGAGCGCCGAAATGGGACCGAAACATAGAGTATATTATATCGGCAACGTGTTGTGGTGATGCATATTTCACTCCTTCCCCAAGTGGCCCCATAGAGTAGATTAAATTGGCCATTTGTTGTTATGATGCATGTTTCACTCCTTGCCCCATTGGCCCCGCCCTCGTTGTAGCAGCGTTGTGGCGGCTATCGCTCGAGGACATGCAGACACGCCAGAGATAATGCGAGTGTTCGCGTCTGTGTGAATTGCAGATATGTGAGTCGTTCCAGCTCTTCGTGGTATGAGTCGTTGGGGCCCCTCGTCCTTCCTTGTGTACCTCCTTCGGGCCCCTCATTGTGTGTACGTCGTTCGGGCTCCTCGTGGTGTGAGTCCCCTCCTTGTGTGTGAGTCGTTCGGTCCCCTCCTCCTGGTGTAACTCGTTCGGGTCCCTCGTGGTGTGAGTCGTTCGGGGCCCGCGTCGTGGTGTGAGTCGTTCGGGCTCCTCGTGGTGAGTCGTTCGGGCGCCTCGTCTTGGTGTGAGGCGTTCGGGCCCTTCCTTGTGGTGTGACTCGTTCGGGCTCCTCGTGGTGTGAGTCGTTGGGGTCTTTCGTCCTGGGGTGAGTCGTTCGGGCTCCTCGTTGGGCCTGTTGGGGGCCTCTTGGAGCTCTTGGGGCGTCTGGGGGGCCTCTTGGGGGAGTATTGGGGGCCTTTTGGAGCCTCTTGGGGCCTCTTGGGGGCCTCTTGGGAGCCTCGAGGGGACCTCTAGGGGCCCCTGGGGGGCCTCTTGGGGGCCTCCTGGAGGGCTCTTGGGAGCCTCCTGGGGGCCTTTTGGGGCTATCTTAGGGTTTCTTGCGACCTCCTCAGAAGCGCTAATAAGCGCTGACCCTTGCGAAGAACAAAATCAGCCCCAAACCTTCGTAAAGCAATGATTTTGCTAAGAAGGAAGAGGAACGCGGCCCCCTTCAGAAGGCAAAAAAGGGGCCCAAACCGTCGTAAAATCAATGTTTTTACCTTCGACGACGAGTTCAGGGACCAAACTCCCTCCCCCCCCTCGGGGCCAGAATCCTCGTGAGGGTCGTCGTTTTTTGGCCCTCCCAGGAGTCGAAAAAGACCCCTCCAACGACCCGCGGGGCCCCCTCTCGGGTAGGGGGTAGGGGGAGGGGTAAACCCCTCCCCGAAGGGGAAGAAAGGGGGTTGGGGGGTTGAGGACAGAGAAAGCTCGCTAAACCACTCACGCCCAAAGGGCTGGTGAGATTGGCATTTGATGTGTGCGCAGGGGGTACGCGAAAAAAGGTACGGTAGGTTCGCGTCGTGTCGACCAGTGGCGACCCTACCGCTGGCGTTCCACGTTGAACGCCGCCAGCGACCCAGCATCGGCCGATGTTGCACGATATGACGTTTCGGAAAGGGCCGATCGTTCAAGCTTGAGCGACCCCCGCTGAGTCAGGACCCGACGCCGAAGTCGGCACGACACGAACTCGCCGTACAACAGGTGGGCGGCTCGAACATACAGAGACGACCATTTTTTATTCAAGAGGCGCTTACAGTTGAAACCAATGCCAAGACACACCCTGCTTGCCTCCAGGGTGCCCTGGGTTTCTTGGGTTTGGATGGTTTTGCAATGGAAAGCCGTGACGCCCCCACACCAAAAATCAGTGGACGTCCCGGGGTCTCAGGGTGTTGGGTTTCTTGTGGAAGGTTTTTCTTTTGGACGAGCTCCTGCTGTGCAAGATTTTTCTCCTCACAGCCAAATGGGTTCCAAAGCATTTTTTTGCTCCTCCCCACTGCCCAACGAAACCAGCGCCAGGGCCACTCTCCCCTCCTCGGCGGCCTCGGGCGCATTATGTGGCAAGCGCTGCGTGGGCCGCTCCTAGGCTGTGCTTTTGTCACAGCCGCCGCCATCGGCCTCTCGGGCGCACAGGGGCCACATGCGAACACTGACCCTCCCCTCAAAAATCGTGGGGGGTAGGGATAGGGTTCGCATGTGGCCCCCTACAGGCGCCACCCGCTCGTCGCTGTGCCTCGCCGGGACGGCGCCATCAGCGCCAGAGGACCGGGCCGAGGTCCACGCGGAGGCCTGTGGCGCGGGCGGCGCCGCGGGCGCCCGTGCCGCGGGGCCCAGTGGGCCCGGGGCTCCGCCCGAGCGGCGCCGTGGCGAGCGGGGCGGGCACTGCTGGGCACTCTGGGTGCGGGGCGAGAACCAGTCCAGCCAGGTCGTGGACACCAGGGGCAGCACCGCGGTGGGCCCCTGGGCCACCGACGCTGCCGGCGCGGAGGTCCCGGCCCGGATGCTCTGCGCGGAGGAGCTCACGCGGCGCGCCCTGCTGTCCCCGGACTGCGCGGAGGGGGCCTGCGCGTGCACCCAGCTGGGTCGCACCAGTTGCTCGTGTCGGGCGGTCATGGGCGCGTCGCGGGCGCGGCTCGTGCTGAAGCACGCAGAGTGGCTCGCCGACCACGGCCACGCCAGGGGCGCGGAGGTCGCTTCCAGGAGGCCAGCCGTGAGGCGGCGGAGCACGGCCAGGCGCCGGGCGACGAAATCTATACATAGTCACTGGTTCCTGGCCAGGCCCATTCTGAACCCAGGAGCTGTGTATACGCCCTCCTGGCCAAGCCAGGAGGGCGCGGCGTACACAACGCTGCTGTTCAGGATGGGCCTGCCAGGGAGCAGTTGTTATGTATAGATTTCGTCGCCCTCAGGCGGCGCTCGCACACAGAGCTTCTGCGCGGTTGGGGCACCTCCTCTCAGGGTGGGGCCGCTTCGCGGAGGCGCTCGAGGCCCTCCTCGAGGCCCAGCGGTTCGCAGACCTCGCCCTGGAGGAGGAGCGCGACCCGGCCACGCCGTTGTTGCTCGGGGTGGCTTGGTTGCAGGCAGCAAGATGCGGAGCGGCGAAGTGGCAGGAATCGAAGAAGAACAGACTGCATAAAAAGAAACTCTTGGGCGCTCCGCGCGGATTTCTTGCATTCGCACTGGGCCCCCCTAGCGGTGCCTCCGGCGCTGCCCCTGGCGCGCTCCGCGCGCCAGTGAGGGGTGCCAAGCGCAGATCCAAGAAATCCGCGCGGAGCGCTCAAAAGAGTATGTTTATGCCGCTGTGTTTTCTTATAAGGAAGCGGAAGAGTGGATCCTGAGTTTGGGCCCGCTCGCGACGGACGGGCTCGACGCGCAGCGCCAGAGGCTCCAGACGGACATCCGCTTCTGGCGGGCCGCGGAGCTGTCCCCGAGGCGCTGCGTAGACGCTGGCGATGTCGCGCACGCGCTGATCTGCGTCGGGAGCCATTTGTTCTACGCCGTGACGCGATACTGGTAGAGGAGGGGGAGCTGGGAGTATTGGGCGGAGGGGTAGGGACGCTCAATATCCAGCACAGCGCTGCTCCAGACCAACAGGAATGTCGAGACAGGATCCGCTGGCCGCGTGCATTCGTAGTTTCCGTTCTATCTGTTGCATCAGGGAGTGATTTGAAAGTTGTCACTCCTTGTTCATTTTGGTTTTGCTGTGGACAGCCAGGGGGGCTTGGGCTCCGACTTTTTTTGTCGGGGTCCTGGCGGGCTCACGTAGAATAGTCATCCGCGGGGCTGTGGGTGCTTGTTGGGCGCCCAGAGTCTCTTCATTTTGCCCCAAAGTCTCCTCCTGGTGTCCCATCCCGCCGACACGGCTCGATGCCTAGGTCGGTTGATTGTTCGGTCGGCACATAATAAGCTTGCATAGCTTCAGCGTAAAGATTTGTAGGTTGAGCCCTTCTCGTTCTTGTAATCTCCAGTGCGTTTCAAAATCAACCGTGGGGTCCATCCCAGGTTGCTTGCTGTGGAACATCGTGAACTGACAGCATGAGGCCCATGCTGTATCTGCACTGCCCAGCACGCAATCCGAAACAAAAATTCGCCTGGCGAAGAACCCAACCATCTGCAGTTGTGAGCACCGTCGATGTATTATAGAACCTGGAGGGTAGGCCTACACCAGGCCGACCCCTCGGCCTACCCCCCAGGCCTACCCTAGGCCTACGCTGTAGGCCTATCCTTATTCTTTATTATTATATACCCCCACCTACCTCGTATTCCGGCCGATAGCGACCCAATCCGGGACCTCCCATCCGGACTGTAACAAATCAATACAAAGTGGCCATTTTTTCCCCATATCCTAAGATGGGGTTCTTGTTATTCCCCATATCCTAAGATGGGGTTCTTGTTATTACTTGGACGCCTCCTACTCCTCCTCCTTCCTCCTCTTTCCTCCTCCCCTCCTCATACTCAGACTTACTCATACTCAGACTTACTCATACTCAGAATTTTCTCATACACAGACCTACTCATACCCAGACTTACTCATACACAGACTTACTCATACACAGACTTACTCATACTCAGGCATACTCATACTCAGACCTACTCATACTCAGACTTACTCAACACACATCAGATTTGGAGGATGTCTCAAGCGGGGCGCTGGTTTCAGCACCCCTAAGGGGAGCCGCCAGGGGTGTTTGCACGGGCTCGTTCGCGGCCATTTTGTGGGGATGTCTCAGGCGGTTTGCTTGTTTCTGGGCTCAACATCCTTCGCTTGGAGAGCAGATTGTGAGGATGTCTCAGGCGGGGCGCTGGTTTCAGCACCCCTAAGGGGAGCCGCCAGGGGTGTTTGCACGGGCTCGTTCGCGGCCATTTTGTGGGGATGTCTCAGGCGGTTTGCTTGTTTCTGGGCCCAACATCCTTCGCTTTCGGAGCAGATTTGGAGGATGTCTCGAGCGAGGCGCTCATTTTCACCCCCAGGTGGGCCAGATTTTGAGGATGTCTCGATCGGTTTGCTTGTTTTGGTGGCCAGGCTCGTGGCCCTAAGGGGAGCCGCCAGGGGTGGTTGCACGGGCTCGTTCGCGGCCATTTTGTGGGGATGTCTCAGGCGGTTTGCTTGTTTCTGGGCTCCAACATCCTTCGCTTTCGGAGCAGATTTGGAGGATGTCTCGAGCGAGGCGCTCATTTTCACCCCCCAGGTGGGCCAGATTTTGAGGATGTCTCGATCGGTTTGCTTGTTTTGGTGGCCAGGCTCGTGGCCCTAAGGGGAGCCGCCAGGGGTGTTGCACGGGCTCGTTCGCGGCCATTTTGTGGGGATGTCTCAGGCGGTTTGCTTGTTTCTGGGCCCAACATCCTTCGCTTTCGGAGCAGATTTGGAGGATGTCTCGAGCGAGGCGCTCATTTTCACCCCCCAGGTGGGCCAGATTTTGAGGATGTCTCGATCGGTTTGCTTGTTTTGGTGGCCAGGCTCGTGGGCGCAGATTCTTCTCAGGATGCCACAGGAGGCTCCAACAGGCTCCAGGAGGCCCCAGGAGACCACATGAGGTCCCAGGAGGCATCAGGAGGCCACAGAAAGATTCAAGAGGCCACAGGATGTCCCAAGAGGCTCCAGGAGGCCCCAGGAAGCTCCAGAAGGCCTCCGGAAACCACAGGTGGCCCCAGGAGGCAACAGGAAGTGCCAGGAGGCCTCGGAAGGCAACAGGAGGCCCCGAGAGGCCCCAGGAGCAGGAGGCCTCAGAAGGCAACAGGAGTGGCTCCAATCCCATGTGTTTTACGTATGCTCCTATCGATTGGGCCTCACCTGGAGCACGATTCTTTGATGTTCTACGTATGTTTCTATAGATTGTCCTTCTCCTGTGTAAGCAATCCTACTTGTTTTACTTTTGTTCCTATATATTGGGCCTCTCCTGGGGCACGAGTCCTTGGTGTTTTACGTGTGTTCCTGTAGACCCATATACAATATTACGTTTGAAAAAGGATGCACATATGGGGAGCTCCACGCAGTGAGTAATTACTTGGACGCCTCCTACTCCCTCTCCTCCTTCCTCCTCCTCTTTCCTCCTCCCCTCCTGTTGGACTTACTCATACTCAGACTTGCTCATACTCAGACTTACTCATACGCAGACTTACTCATACTCAGACTTACTCATACTCAGACCTACTCATACTCAGACTTACTCACACTCAGACATACTCATACACAGACTTACTCATACACAGACTTACTCACACCCAGACGTACTCATACACAGACTCACTCATACCCAGACTTACTCATACACAGTATTAGTCATACTCAGACTTCGCTTGGAGAGCAGATTGTGAGGATGTCTCAGGCGGGGCGCTGGTTTCAGCACCCCTAAGGGGAGCCGCCAGGGGTGGTTGCACGGGCTCGTTCGCGGCCATTTTGTGGGGATGTCTCAGGCGGTTTGCTTGTTTCTGGGCCCAACATCCTTCGCTTGGAGAGCAGATTGTGAGGATGTCTCAGGCGGGGCGCTGGTTTCAGCACCCCTAAGGGGAGCCGCCAGGGGTGGTTGCACGGGCTCGTTCGCGGCCATTTTGTGGGGATGTCTCAGGCGGTTTGCTTGTTTCTGGGCCCAACATCCTTCGCTTTCGGAGCAGATTTGGAGGATGTCTCGAGCGAGGCGCTCATTTTCACCCCCCAGGTGGGCCAGATTTTGAGGATGCCTCGATCGGTTTGCTTGTTTTGGTGGCCAGGCTCGTGGCCCTAAGGGGAGCCGCCAGGGGTGGTTGCACGGGCTCGTTCGCGGCCATTTTGTGGGGATGTCTCAGGCGGTTTGCTTGTTTCTGGGCCCAACATCCTTCGCTTTCGGAGCAGATTTGGAGGATGTCTCGAGCGAGGCGCTCATTTTCACCCCCCAGGTGGGCCAGATTTTGAGGATGTCTCGATCGGTTTGCTTGTTTTCGTGGCCAGGCTCGTGGCCCTAAGGGGAGCCGCCAGGGGTGGTTGCACGGGCTCGTTCGCGGCCATTTTGTGGGGATGTCTCAGGCGGTTTGCTTGTTTCTGGGCTCAACATCCTTCGCTTTCGGAGCAGATTTGGAGGATGTCTCGAGCGAGGCGCTCATTTTCACCCCCCAGGTGGGCCAGATTTTGAGGATGTCTCGATCGGTTTGCTTGTTTTGGTGGCCAGGCTCGTGGGCGCAGATTCTTCTCAGGATGCCACAGGAGGCTCCAACAGGCTCCAGGAGGCCCCAGGAGACCACATGAGGTCCCAGGAGGCATCAGGAGGCCACAGAAAGACTCAAGAGGCCACAGGATGTCCCAAGAGGCTCCAGGAGGCCCCAGGAAGCTCCAGAAGGCCTCAGGAAACCACAGGAGGCCCCAGGAGGCAACAGGAAGCGCCAGGAGGCCTCGGAAGGCAACAGGAGGCCCCGAGAGGCCCCAGGAGCAGGAGGCCTCAGAAGGCAACAGGAGTGGCTCCAATCCCATGTGTTTTACGTATGCTCCTATCGATTGGGCCTTACCTGGAGCACGATTCTTTGATGTTCTACGTATGTTTCTATAGATGGTCCTTCTCCTGTGTACACAATCCTAAATGTTTTACTCATGTTCCCATATATTGGGCCTCTCCTGGGGCACGAGTCCTTGGTGTTTTACGCGTGTTCCTATATGTTGCCCTTCTCCTGTGGCTCTAATCCGCAATGTTTTATGTACGTCTGTTGCTGTAGATTGCGCCTCTCCTGGGGCACGAAACCTTCCTAGGAGGTCCCAGGAGGTCCCAAGAGGCTCCTGGAGACCCCAGGAAGCTCCAGTAGGTTTCAGGAGGCCCCAGGAGGCCCCAGGCTCATGCACAGAGACGCGCTTGTACTACTGAGGCTCGTTCACACTCCAATTCATTCGCAGTTAGACTGATGTCGAGACCGTCACAACTGAAGCCCGTTAATATTCGAAAGCTCTTGCGCCTAGACATTCACGGCGGACAGGTCCATGCGAGTAGATGCACATATGGGGAGCTCCACGCAGTGAATAATCTTCTCAACATCGTCTTTCTTGTCGTCGACGATGCGAAAAGCGTGGCAGGAATGGGACGCGGCGCACATCGCGCGCGGCAGTCAATCTGGGCCCGCCCATCCTGACTGCAAAACATAAATACAAGGAATGGGGCGCGGCGCACATCGCGCGCGGACGTCAATGCGGGCTGCGGACCCGCCCATCTTGATTGTAAAAAACAATACAGAGTACCACTACCACTACCACTACCACTACTAGTACTACTACTACCACTACCACTACCACTACTAGTACTACTACTACTACTACTACTACTACTACTACTACTACTACTACTACTACTACTACTACTACTACTACTACTACTACTACTACTACTACTACTACTACTACTACTACTACTACTACTACTACTACTACTACTACTACTACTACTACTACTACTACTACTACTACTACTACTACTACTACTACTACTACTACTACTACTACTACTACTACTACTACTACTACTACTACTACTACTACTACTACTACTACTACTACTACTACTACTACTACTACTACTACTACTACTACTACTACTACTACTACTACTACTACTACTACTACTACTACTACTACTACTACTACCTACTACACGCCAGCACCCGGTTGCGCCAGCATTGTTTCTTATGTTGTGGGAGGGCGGAACGTGTCCGTTGTTCCTTTCAACATGGGCAGTCTTGTCGTTGACGATGCGAAATGCGTGGCGGGAATGGGACGCGGCGCGCATCCCGCGCAGACGTCAATGCGGTGTCCTGGGGTATCCCCCATTCGCACTGAAATGCCCGCGCAGCCCCCAGTTGTGCCACCACTGTTTCTTATGTTGTGGGAGGGCGGGTGGGAATGGGCATGCCATGCTTGACTCGCTCGAGCTGGCTAGCTTGACCCTGGACCTACCTCTAGGCCTTCTTCCTAGGCCTACCCCCAGGCCTACCCCCTAGGCCTACCCCCAGGCCTACCCCGTAGGCCTACCCTAGGCCTTCCCCCTAGGCCTTCCCCCTCGGCCTTCCCCCTAGGCCTCCCCTTGGCCTATCCCTAGGCCCACCCCCTAAGCCTATCCTTATTTCCTATGATGAAACACCCCCACATCCCCACCAG